AAAAAAAAAAAAAAAAAAAAAAACTGTGCGCAGGGGTCCCATGGAAGAAGAGGTGGGAGAGAAGCCCTGCAAAGCCCTGACCACCAATGCGTGTGCTTTGAAGTGTAGATTGTGCTCAAGGTTGTGAAGCTGCCCAAGCAGTGCTAGCCTTTGATGCCCTTCATCCTGCAAGGCCACCTGCAAAATGGCTGGAAGGCAGTGTCTGGGTACCCCTAGAAGCAAACCCTGAGACAGTGGTTCTAGGGAGGTGATCCTGGGAAGCATCAGTAGGGCAGTGGAATGATGAGGAGGGACGGAATTCATGCCAGTTACCCCCATGGGCAATGGGAACCCAACCCTCCTGGGGCACTCCGGGGATAGTATAGATAGAACACAGAACACAGCACTCTCAGCTATGGCGCAAGGATGCTGGGTATTTATCCAGCAGCTCCTTGTCTGTCGCTGGTTGAAGGCTGCTTCTGGGCTTATTAACTCTGGCTCTTCCAATTTGCCTTCCATGCAGTTCAAGAGAGCACAAGTCCCTCACTGCCCCAGACACAAAAATCCTCAAGCAGAAAAGCTGGAAGTGGGGAAACCAGGTGGGACTCACTTGCTGTCATTGAAGTGAAGAGCAATGAGTTGAGAAACACAAAATGATAGTAAATAATTCAAATCAACGTGCAGCATAGCGCCAGAAGCCATGGGCACTGAGGAACCCAGACTAAAGAGAGATTGCAAGGGCTTCTTCGTCGAAATCCTGTTTGAGCTGGGTCTTGAGGAGTGCGGTTCATCAGCAGTGAGGGAACAGCAGTTTAAAAGGGATTTTAAACCTCTGAGAAGAGCATGTCGATGAGAACACACAGGGACTTGGAGTTATTCCCCAAATTTCAGGTCTCTACTGCCCGTAAGGCCCCTGGTCCGCTCTCAGCCTCTGAAGTTCAAGCTAATTTGGGCACTTTTACATTCTCTGTCCTGCAATCCAGGAAGGGCAGGAGCTGACTCTCCAGAAGCCAGAGCTGAAAGCCCTGGTGTCGGAGAAACTGGGGGACCTGCACAGACGCTGGGACGAGCTGGAGACCACCACCCAAGCCAAGGCCCGCAGCCTCTTTGATGCCAATCGAGCTGAGCTGTTTGCCCAGAGCTGCTGTGCCCTGGAGAGCTGGCTGGAGAGCCTGCAGGCCCAGCTTCACTCAGACGACTACGGCAAGGACCTCACCAGCGTCAACATTCTGCTCAAGAAGCAGCAGGTGTGCTGGGGAGCTTTGATGGGGATGGTGAACAGCATAAGAAAGGAGGGGTCTGCAGCTTTCAAGATTTGGGAGGCCAGCTAAGGCCTGGCAGATAACACCTTCAGCAGCATTTCCTAAAGTCATTTCTCTGGGCAGCCAGTATCAGAATCTCTAGGTATATGTCTCAGTCAGGGTTAGAGTTAGGAGACAGACCCACTAATAATTTGAAAACAAGAGCTTCAGTAAAAAGAAGTATTAATTAGTCCAGTCGTGGTGGCTCACACCTGTAATCCCAGCACTTTGGGAGGCCAAGGCAGGCGGATCTCTTGAAGTCAGGAGTTCAAGACCAGCCTGGCCAACATGGTGACCACCATCTCTACTAAAAATACAAAAATTAGCCAGGCGGCGTGGTGCATGCCTGTAATCCCAGCTCCTTGGGAGGCTAAGACAGGAGAATGGCTTGAACCCAGGAGGTGGAGGTTGCAGTGAGCTGTGATGGTGCCATCGCACTCTAGCCTGGGTGACAGAGTGAGATTCCATCTCAAAAAAAAAAAAAAAAAAGTATGAATTAGTAAAAGGTGGTAAAGAGCCTTCTACAGCAGGGGTCAGAAAATTTTTTTCAGTAAAGCACCAGATAGTAAATATTTGGGGCTTCGTGGGTCATAAGATCTCTGTCACAGCCCTTCAACTCTGCCCTTGTAAAAGCAGCTGTGGATTATATGTAAAATAAGGGTTGTGGCCAGGCGTGGTGGTCCACACTTGTAATCCCAGCACTTTGGGAGTGGGCAGATCACTTGAGTCCAGGAGTTTGAGACCAGCCTGGGCAATATGGTGAAACCCCATCCCCACAAAAAGTATAAAAATTAGCCAGGCGTGGTGGTGGCATGTGCCTGTAGTCCCAGCTACTCAGGAGGCTGAGGTGAGAAGATTGCTTGAGCCTGGGAAGTCACAGCTGCAGTGGGCCGTGATGGTGCCACTGCACTCCAGGCTGGGGGGCAGAACAAGACTTGTCTCAAAAAATTTTTTTAAAAAGAGGTGCAGCTGTGGTCCAATAAACACTTTATAAAGATAGGCAGTGAGCTGGACTTGCTGGTCCCTGCTCTAAAGAATGTAGAATGGGGGCTGTGCACAGTGGCTCACACCTGTAATCCCAGCACTTTGGGAGGCCGAGGTGGGCGGATCATGAGGTCAAAAGATCGAGACCATCCTGGCCAACATGGTGAAACCCCATCTCTACTAAAACTACAAAAATTAGCTGGGTGTGGTGGCACGTGTCTGTAGTCCCAGCTACTCGGGAGGCTGAGGTGGAAGAATTGCTTGAACCCGGGATGCAGAGGTTGCAGTGAGTCGAGATTGCACCACTGCACTCCAGCCTGGCAACAGACCGAGACTCTGTGTCAAAAAAAAAAAGAATACAGAATAGGAAGTGTAGGGAGAGCTACTACCTGTGGGATCAAGGAGTCCCCCAGGAAGTAGCAAGATGGCTGAGTCTCAGACCTCCTCAGAGAGGGCAGAGACCCACTGAATGGCCTGGAAATTTTCTGGGGTGTCACAGGCCAGAGCAGGTCTGAAACCAGAAAGCGAAGGCTGGCCAGCAGGAAGTGGCCACTGGAGTGCAGCAAAACTTGCCAGAAAGTGACAGCCACCGGATCTCTTGGACACTGACAGTTGAGCTGTAGGAGGAAGGACAGGACCCTGGAAGGGTGGAACGCCCCTCATCCTCTAGGCACTGTGGTGTCCCTCGACCGCCCTCTGCTGACAAGGCCTAGCATTGCGTCCATTGGCAAAGGAGGAATGTTTACAGGGACCAGTTCCTATGTCTCTAAAGCAGGGCCATGATGGATTGGGGATGAGACCATCAATTGGTAACAGGCACAGTTATCACACTACCATGGATTTTTTATTTCAATCTTTTAGATTCAGGTGTGTGTGTGCAGGTTTGTTATAAGGGTATATCGTGTGATGCTGAGGTTTGGGGTACAATTGAACCCATCACCCAGGTAGGGAGCACAGTGCTCAGGAATTTTTTCAACCCCTGCCTTGGGTTCTTGTGTATATAAAGTTGGAGAACCACTGATCCAGCCTATGAGGGGTTGCTCTCCCTGGGGTGAGCCACCGTGCCAAGCAGCCACAGTGGGCTTGATAGAGACTGGTATCTCTGCTGGGTGTGAAGGCGGAAATGCAGAGCTAACAGGCCCTTCCTCCTCATGGTTGCAGATGCTGGAGTGGGAGATGGCTGTGAGAGAGAAGGAGGTGGAGGCCATCCAGGCCCAGGCCAAAGCACTGGCCCAGGAGGACCAGGGTGCAGGGGAGGTGGAGAGGACCTCGAGGGCCGTGGAGGAGAAGTTCAGGGCCTTGTGCCAGCCCATGCGGGAACGCTGCCAGCGTCTACAGGCTTCTCGAGAGCAGCACCAGTTCCACCGGGACGTGGAAGATGAGATTGTGAGTCACTGAGGCCAAAGACAGCAAGCTTTCCAGCCTCCCTCCTGTATGCTGTGGAGATGCCAGCAGGGCTCTTTTCCCTCTTCTCTTTGGCATTAACAATCTCCCCTCTAGGGAGACTTGGGGATGCCCCCCAGAACTAGAGATGGCTGTTCCCTACACATGCGGCAGCAGCCCCAGGTGTCCCCACTCCCAGTAACCAGTCCCTGGTGCTTGCCTTGCCCTCTGGGCCTCCACTGACCCCCTTTCTCTTCCAGTTGTGGGTGACAGAGCGGCTGCCCATGGCCAGCTCCATGGAACATGGCAAGGACCTGCCCAGTGTCCAGCTTCTCATGAAGAAAAACCAGGTGAGGCAGAGACTGAAGGCAAAAGAGAAGTTCCCAGCAGCCTCCCCAGACTTGGATGTGTGTTTTTTAAGACCAGGCCCCACCTCCATGTTGAGTGCAGTCCTGGCTTCAGTGGCTCTCTCTCCTCCCTCCTTGGGAGGGTGGGTCCTCTCAGTGGGAGAGAATGAGGGCTGAGGGGCATTACCATCGCATTCCTGGGCTAGGAGAGGAAGCAGAGGACCCAGACAGGAGAGAGGCACAGGGGTGAAGCGTGGTCTCCGGGAGCATGTGAGGCTGGGGAGGCCTTTCAGCATTTTCTCTTCTGTGGCCGTGGGCAGACCCTGCAAAAAGAGATTCAAGGCCATGAGCCCCGGATCGCGGACTTGAGGGAGCGGCAGCATGCGCTAGGTGCAGCCGCGGCGGGCCCAGAGCTGGCTGAGCTGCAGGAAATGTGGAAACGCCTGGGCCACGAGCTGGAACTTCGAGGGAAGCGACTCGAGGAGGCCCTGCGAGCCCAGCAGTTCTACCGCGATGCTGCTGAGGCAGAGGCCTGGATGGGTGAGCAGGAGTTACACATGATGGGCCAGGAGAAGGCCAAGGTGAGGGCCAGGGCAGAGCCTGGGGTGCGTGGCCAGTTCTGCCCTCCCCCAACCCACTTCCTGATGTCACTGTCCCCTCCCACCATCCCTTCCCCCAGGATGAGCTGAGTGCCCAGGCAGAGGTGAAGAAGCACCAGGTGCTGGAGCAAGCCCTGGCCGACTACGCACAGACCATCCACCAGCTGGCGGCCAGCAGCCAGGACATGATTGACCGCGAGCACCCAGAGAGGTGGGCCCACTGGCAGCCTGGCTCAGCCTTGGGGAGGAGCCGGCTGCAGGAACAGGAAGGTGCGGGGAATGTGGAGCTTTCAGTGCTGTGTGCGTGGAGCCTTCTAGAAAGCTGGAGCTCAGGGATTGGGCAAGCTGTTGGGAAACTCAGAGGGACAGGGCTCCACAGAACAGGATGGAGGTCAGAGCTGCATCCCTTGAGTCCCATGGTGCCTCCCCAACTCTTCCTGCAGCACGCGGATATCAATCCGCCAAGCCCAGGTGGACAAGCTGTATGCTGGCCTGAAGGAGCTAGCAGGAGAGCGGCGGGAGCGCCTGCAGGAGCACCTCCGGCTGTGCCAGCTCCGCCGCGAGTTGGATGACCTGGAGCAGTGGATCCAGGAGCGAGAGGTGGTGGCGGCCTCGCACGAGCTGGGCCAGGACTACGAGCATGTAACTGTGAGTATAGGGAGGGCACCCAGCTCAGATCAACCATGGGAAGAGTGGAGGACCCACGGGGAGACTAGGACCTCATTTCAGGCAGAGCACTGGGGGGAACCGGGCAAGACCAGGCTGGGAAGGCACTGTCCTCCTGGTTTGGAAGTATGTGATTTGAAGAGGCCGGGCATGATGGCCACACAGTGGCTCACACCTATAATACTAGCACTCTGGGAGGCTGAGGTGGGAGGATTGCTTGAGTCCAGGAGCTCAAGACCAGCCTGTGAAACATAGTGAGACCCCATCTCTACAAAAAAAAAAAATTTTTCATTAGCCAAGCATGGCAGTACATGCCTATAGGCACACCTACTCAGGAGGCTGAGGTGGGAGGATCTCTTGAGCCTGGGAGTTCGACACTGCAGTGAGCTGTGCTCATGCCAGTGCACTTCAGCCTGGGCAACAGTGCAAGACCCCCTCGCTAAATACATATATACACACACAATTTGAAGAATTGTGCAGAAAGGATACATGAAGCTGAGCTGTGGCAAGGGCAAATAGGAAATTATCATTCAAGCTTTTTCACCAGAATTCAACAAAACAGGGTGCGATCCCTGCCACAGTTCAGGGGCTTGGACCCTCAGTGGTACAGAAATATGGACCATAGTTAGGGTATCCATGTCTGAGGCCTGAGGGTCCCAAGCATCTCAAAACAGCTTTGCTGGGGATGGAGGGAGTCCATCAAATGTAGGGTCAGTGGGAAGTGGCTATACCTGGTCCTTAACCCGAGGGAAGAAACCTGTCCTGCCCCCTGGCCGGGGGAGAGAGGTGGGATCTGAGTTTGGAGTAGAAGATTCGCTCCATCAGGCAGGGACCACATCCCCAGCATCATGGCATGGTCTGTCCATCTGCTTCCTTTACCAGATGCTCCGAGACAAATTCCGAGAGTTCTCCCGAGACACGAGCACCATTGGTCAGGAGCGTGTAGATAGTGCCAATGCTCTGGCCAATGGGCTCATTGCAGGGGGCCATGCCGCACGGGCCACCGTGGCCGAGTGGAAGGACAGTCTCAACGAGGCCTGGGCTGACCTGCTTGAGTTGCTGGACACACGGGGTCAGGTGCTGGCCGCGGCGTATGAGCTGCAGCGCTTTCTGCACGGGGCACGCCAAGCCCTGGCACGGGTGCAGCACAAGCAGCAGCAGCTTCCAGACGGGACTGGCCGTGACCTCAACGCCGCCGAGGCCCTGCAGCGCCGACACTGTGCCTATGAGCACGACATCCAGGCCCTCAGCGCCCAGGTCTGACCCAAGCATGAGGAAGTAGGGGAGGCTTAGAGGAGGCCATGGGGGATATGCCAGGGAGGGTTCTCAGGAGCTAGGGCAATGCTTAGAAATGCTGGGAGGATGTCCCCCTTTGGAGGGCAATTTCGAGATGAAGAAATTGCACCAAGAAAAATCTCTGGTTGGCCTGGCACAGTGGCTCATGCCTGTAATCCCAGCACTTTGGGAGGCCAAGGCGGGCAGATCACCTGAGGTTGGGAGTTCAGGATCAGCCCGACTAACATGGAAAAACCCCGTCTCTACTAAAAATACAAAATTAGCCAGGCATGGTGGCATATGCCTGTAATCCCAGCTACTTGGGAGGCTGAGGCAGGAGAATCACTTGAACCCGGGAGACGGAGGTTGCAGTGACCTGAGATAGCACTATTGCACTCCAGCCTGGTCAAGAGTGAAACTCCATCTCCAAAAAAAAGAAGAAAAAAGAACATCTCTGGCAGGGGACATCTAGTGTATTCACACTTTTAATGACAAGCCCCCTTCAGAGTGATGTCTTCAGGGGTTCCCAGCAGCCAGGAGACTCTTCATGCTGCTCTGAATTTGCCTGTTGGTGCTTCCCAGGCTTGAGCTCTAGGCCCACACTCAATAAGCACAGATCCTTCCCTCAACCACTGAAACCCATCAGCCACCTCCCCCAATCAGCCTGGCCTGAATCCCCTCTTCAGGCTAAGTGTCTCGTTCTAGCAATCTCCAAGGTCCTTCACATCCTAGACAGGCTTCTGAAAAGTTCAACTGGCCAATGGCCCTTTTCCAGACCCTTCCCCCAGTTAAGCCCAGGTGCCCAGATGAGACCTGACAGGGCAGAGTGTGTCCAGGCACCTGCCTTCATCTTTCCCTGCACACCCGCCCTCTGGCTCCTCCCCCTGCCTCTTTGGCTGTGAGGCAGGCAGGAGGTGAGAGCAGCAGCCAGGACTGAGGCAGGCTGCAGCTCCTTGGAGTCCCCTGCGCTGCCTGACTCTGACCCTGGGCCCTACAGGTCCAGCAGGTGCAGGATGATGGCCATCGGCTCCAGAAGGCCTACGCTGGAGACAAGGCCGAGGAGATCGGCCGCCACATGCAGGCCGTAGTGGAGGCCTGGGCCCAGCTTCAGGGAAGCTCTGCCGCCCGTCGGCAGCTGCTGCTGGACACCACGGACAAGTTCCGCTTCTTCAAGGCTGTGCGGGAACTGATGCTCTGGATGGATGGGGTCAACCTGCAGATGGATGCCCAGGAGCGGCCCCGGTGAGAAGCCCAGGACCCAAGGCCGCCATGGGTTGTGCGGCTGGGAGGTGATGGGGCTATGGGCAGCGGATGATGCTGTTTCTGCCTTCTCCCAGGGATGTGTCCTCCGCGGATCTAGTCATCAAGAACCAGCAAGGCATTAAGGCAGAGATAGAGGCCCGGGCGGATCGCTTCTCCTCCTGTATCAACATGGGGAAGGAGCTGCTGGCCAGGAGTCACTATGCAGCTGAGGAGGTGGGTGAGGCCTGGGAGGCTCGGCCATCCTCACTGTAAAGCGCTGAACACTGACTTCTCGGCGGCTTTTTGCTTCCTCTCATTCTCTCTTTGCAAGAAATCTTTCATTCTCTCCCCTCAGTGCTGTTCAGGGGTTTCCCACATTCTGGAAATCTCTCCCCAGATCCGGCAGCCTCTTGACATCAGAAATCACTGGTCCTGGGCTGGGTGCAGTGGCTCATGCCTGTAATCCCAGCACTTTGGGAGGCCTAGGCAGGTGGATCACCTGAGGTCAGGAGTTTGAGACCAGCCTAGCCAACATGGTGAAACCCCATCTCTACTAAAAGTACAAAACTTAGCTGGGCATGGTGGTGGGCACCTGTAATTCCAGCTACTCAGGAGGCTAAGGCAGGAGAATTGCTTGCACCCAGGAAGCAGAGGTTGCAGTGAGCTGAGATTATGCCCTCTCACTCCAGCTTGGGCAACAAGAGGGAAACTCTGTCTCAAAAAAAGAAAAAAAGAAATTGCTTATCCTCCTGAATGACTCCCCCGGGGCCCTGGAAAGACCTCACATCCTGGTGCTAACTCACATCTCTGCCCCTCCAGATCTCAGAGAAGCTGTCTCAGCTGCAGGCACGGCGCCAGGAGACAGCTGAGAAGTGGCAGGAGAAGATGGACTGGCTTCAGCTGGGTGAGCCGCTGAGGGGGCCCCAGGCCCTGTGGGGAATGGGGGGCATTCTGCGCCCTGTGGTTTCCAGAGTAGGTGAGACCAGGATCCCTGGGTGTGGAACTCAGAATGCTCAACCTTGGCAATGCCTGGCACAGCTCTGGAGCAGTAGCTTTCTCTGTGTCCCTGTTCTTGAGGTTGCCATGGCCACTGTGCCCTGCCTGTGCCCACTCTGACCCACCATCTTCCTGTGACCCCTGATCCCACCAGTTTTGGAGGTGCTCGTGTTTGGAAGAGATGCAGGGATGGCAGAGGCCTGGCTGTGCAGCCAGGAGCCGCTGGTGCGCAGTGCTGAGCTGGGTTGCACGGTCGACGAAGTGGAGAGCCTCATCAAGCGGCACGAGGCCTTCCAGAAGTCGGCAGTGGCCTGGGAGGAGCGATTCAGTGCACTGGAGAAGCTTACCGCGGTGAGGGACACAGGACCCCAGATGCCCACCCCAACCCACTCCCCGGTGCTTACTCCTGCTTGGAGAAGACACGTCTTCTTCTCCCACTGCACTAGCAGCCCCCAGATGTGAGCTGAGAGTGCCGTTGTCCCCGCACCTTTAGGAGGCATAGTTCCACTGGGTGATGCTGAGACACCCTCTCCCGCTTTCTTATCCCCACCATCTTCTCGAGTTCTGTTCTCCTTTTATCATATTTCATCAAACGCGAGTTGAGACTTCAGCTCTCCCTGTCTCCCTGGCCCTCTTACATGAGACCTTCTACACACTGAATGCAGCATTTTTTGACAGCTAGAGGAGCGGGAAAAGGAGCGAAAGAGAAAGAGAGAGGAGGAGGAGCAGAGGAAACAGCCGCCTGCTCCCGAACCCACAGCCAGTGTGCCTCCAGGGAACTTGGTGGGCAGCCACACAGCTCCTGACACCACCTGGGACGGGTGAGAGCCGGGACGCCTGGGGTAGGAGGAGGAGGCTGAGCCCAAGCCACCCAGGGACTAATGACTCTGTTGATTTTGGTCATCCCAGAACCCAGCCGCGGCCACCGCCATCCACGCAAGCACCCAGTGTAAATGGAGTCTGCACAGATGCAGAGTCCTCACAGGTGACCCCACTCTCCCCCTGCGCCCCCATCGGAGCCATAGCCCCCCTACCACCACACATCCTCTTACAGGTTCTTGTCCTTGCAGCCCCTGCTGGGACAACAGAGACTTGAGCAGAGCAGCTTCCCTGAAGGGCCGGTGAGTTCCCCTGCAAGTGTGGGTGTCATTAACTGGGAGGCAAAGGGACCAAAAGGGGCGGTGAGCTGGGGTGAGGCAGTACTGGGGATGGGATGGGAGAGGGCAGAGGCTCACAGGCAGCTTGGAGGCAGGAAGATCAACTCCTGGACACGGAGCTAGCTTCCTGGTACCCAGGTTAGGGATCTTGCGTCCCATCCGTTGACACTAACACTGATCTTCCCCCAGGGACCTGGTCCAGGGGACGAAGCCAATGGGCCCCGGGGAGAGAGGCAGACCCGGACTCGGGGCCCGGCCCCGCCTACGATACCCCAGAGCAGGTCCACTGAGTCAGCCCATGCTGCCACCCTGCCACCTAGAGCCCCAGAGCCGTCTGCCCAGGAGCAGATGGAGGGGGTGCTGTGCCGCAAGCAGGAGATGGAGGCCTTCGGGAAGAAGGCTGCCAACAGGTACCGCCTCTCCAGAGCCTAGCCTCTGAGGGGACTTCCCCAGAACCTCTGCCCAGGTAGAGGGAGGGATGCCCTTTAGAGTATGTCTTCTGGGCAAGGGGTAGGACTTGCGATCAGAGCAGGACCTTAGGAGAGGACCAGAGGGTGTGAAGACCATGGGCCTAAAGATGGGAGCAGAACTGGAAGTTCTAGGACACCCAAGAGGGCCCCAGGTTGCACGTGCCACCAAGGCCGGCCAGTCAGCACCATGTCCCGCAGGTCCTGGCAGAACGTGTACTGTGTCCTGCGGCGTGGGAGCCTTGGGTTTTACAAGGATGCCAAGGCAGCCAGTGCGGGAGTGCCATACCACGGAGAAGTGCCTGTCAGCCTGGCCAGGGCCCAGGGCAGCGTCGCCTCTGATTACCGAAAGCGCAAACATGTCTTCAAGCTGGGGTAGGAACAGGGAACGGTTCTCTCGGCATGGGGAGGGGCATTGGGAGTGAACACAGATGAGCCATGAGTCAGTTCTAGAGGGAGGGGTGTTCCCATAAGGAGCCCCTGAGTGGAGTAACCAGGCCAGCCACTTGGAGACTGTGTAGATGAGAGAGGGGGATTCTGGTTGTCTCCCCACCAAAGGGAGCAGGAGAACCAAGACCCAGTCCTGATGGCTGATGACATCAAGGTAAAAAATTACCCAGGGTGGGAAATCCAAAGGCAGGGACATGGCAGGACCTCCAGGGGCCTGTCCCTGCCTCCAGCAAGCAGCTGGAGCAGGAGGCCCAGGCTGGGGCAGAAGTGAGCTCCCTGTACCTCTGTGGCCAGTCGGAAAGGATGTGCTTCTGCACAGTCTGGGGAGCCTGGAAAATGTGCAGAGCGTGTCTGGTCTGGCTTTGAGGGCCACAGCCAGATGCCTCAGCCCAGTGTTGGGTCATGATTGTGCGCTCACCAGCGGCAACTTGGCAGACCTGGAATCTCAGCTCTGCCCTGTGGCCTCTCTCTCCCAACAGCTTACAGGATGGAAAAGAGTATTTATTCCAGGCCAAGGATGAGGTGAGCTGTCCTCTGTGATCCTCTCTGTCCATGCCATTCCAGAACCTTCCAGCTGCAGACTTCCCTTCCTTCCCTGTCCTCCCTCTTTTTCCTGGTCTCATCCTTTGTGGTAAGACAGCATGCTAACCGGATGTGTGTGATGGCCACACCAGGCCGCACTCCCTGTCTAAGCCGGCCGCGTTCTCCTAATGGCATGAAACAGCTCACTTTCTCTTCCTCCTCTTACGCTTCCCTGCTGTCCACTGCGGCCACCCCAGCACAGCGTCCTTGAAGCTGACCAAGGGTTTTTCCGTCCTGCAGGCAGAGATGAGCTCATGGCTACGGGTGGTGAACGCAGCCATTGCCACTGCATCTTCTGCCTCTGGAGAGCCCGAAGAGCCAGTGGTGCCCAGTGCCACCCGGGGCATGACACGGGCCATGACCATGCCCCCAGTGTCACCTGTTGGGGCTGAGGGGCCTGTTGTGCTCCGCAGCAAGGACGGCAGAGAACGAGAGCGAGAAAAACGCTTTAGCTTCTTCAAGAAGAACAAGTAGTCAGCGGGGCAAGGTCCCAGGCCAGCTCCCTCCCTCTGTTCAGGAAACTGCCAGAGACCGTCGACAGGGACCACCCTCTTGTCAGGACAACTGCCTGCTGCTAGGGTCTGTTGCCAAGGTCAGCCCATCACCAGGAACTGTCACTGGGGACAAGTCCATGTTCCCAAGGGCAGCCCTTTTCTTCTGCTGTTTAATTCCAGACCAGTGGTGGAACCCAGGCAACCCCCCTCCCACCCCCGCCAACTTCTCCCTTCTTGCCCCCGCCTTGTGCCTCTGTCCTTCACCACGGTGGAGACAGTGCTGCACCCTCAACATAGGCCATGTGGGGAGTGGCTGCCCCACCTCAGGGTCATTCTCCCGCCACAGGGAGGGCACGAGCCTTCTGCCTTCTGGTTCCTGCCCCTGGGACCAGCCAGGAACCTCTCAGAGATGAAGCAGGCCCTGGGGGCAGGAGTGCCAGATGACACTCAGAGGTGCAGGAGCCTTCCCTCCCCACCCCCACCCTCTGACTCCAGCTGCCACTCAATCTCCAGCTGCTCTCAGTGGCTTCCAAGGTGTGTTTGGGGACAGCCACCGCCTTGAGTCTGGCCAAGGAGGTGATTAAACAGCTCAGCTTCTCTCACTGCCTCTGGGTTTTTTTGCTTTCCTGACCACAGCCTCTCTGCCCAAGCCCATGTCCTCTCCTTTGGTTCTGGTCTCCTGCATCTCATGTTTCCACTCTGCCCCAGCCTCCAAGCTCTTGAAGACTCCAAGCTCTTGAAGTCCAAGCTTCCCGGACTCAGTCTCGCTTCCCTGTGACAGTGACCTCCAGTGTGCTGGGTTGACCAATGCCAAGCCTCTTTTTAGACCAAAGTAGTTCACCATGGGTTGGGATGATGTCAACAAGCAGTATTCATGTTGAAAAGCAATGTGTGACTCCTGGCCTGGTGAACGGTTTTCTTCACTCGTGATTCTCTAAACTGTTTTCAGATTGGAAGACTGGGAAGCACTGTTCCAGCCCCCAGCTAGTCTCAGCTGCTGCTCAGCCCAGGGTTGGAAAGTTGAGTACACAGCAGGGGGGTTACTGCCCCCACTTGCCGTCTGCTCTCCAGTAGATCAAGGAAGCTCAGACAGGGATCAGGGAAGTGGCAGGTTCCAATAAACTGACCAACAGAATGAGAATGAAGTCACCCTGGGAAGCCATGAGGTGACTATAGCCCAGGTGTGTAAATACACACACAGAGGAGAATAT